CCCCCCCCCCCCCCCCCCCCCCCCGCCCTCCCTTTAATATCTCCAATGTCACTGACTCCATGCGTGCTTGTGCGTGCGTGCGTGCGTGTGTGTGTGTGCGTGTTTGTTTGTTTACGAATATAGAACTCCACTTTTTTAATATAAATTTGCTTTGCTTTGTTTTTTCTCCCCCCATTCATGATGAATAAGCGCCAATTTGATCCAAGTACGTGGAAGACGGAATACAGGAAGTAATAATAATACTAATAATAATCTTGAATGAAATTATTATACTAAAGTGACACATCGACTTTGATTAAGAGTAGCACACACAAGCTTGAAATCCTCAGCCATAAATCAAATTGGAGACGAAGGGTTGGAATGCTTGGTTAAAAAAGTAGACTGGGGTTGGAGGAGTGATGAAAGAATAGAGAATCGATTGAGCTCACATCATATTTGGCGAGGAATTAGCTTAGAAAGTTAAATGATAGAAACAAGCTCTCCTATTTAATCTAATAGATTGGTTGGTACAAAATAAAAATTTGTAATAACTGATTAATACTAATAATTCGACGATTTTACTCACCCTGCCGACTACGCCACCACCAATACGTCTGTGATATCGTCGAATAACTCCAGTCTTGTCAGCGTTTATTCCCATTATCCGTCGTCGGAACTTTAATTTAGTGCGTTCAGGGTCCTCTTCGTCCCCATATCTTCCTGCATAACTATCGTATCGCTGCCCGGCATAGTCTTCAGCAGACGGTGAGGTTTGTGGCTGTTTACCCGACTGCTGTTGCATTTCACTGGTCGAAATTCGACGGTCACCACCGCCACCACCACCACCGTTTGAGGCCGTCGTGGAATTGTTGATGGAGGTGGGAGTGGCCGAGGACTGGCAAGAGCCCTCGTTGGAAACAGAACCAGGAAGGGAGGCTTCTGGATCCGTTGTAGAGATACCCAGTGTTGACTGGGAGGGTTGTGGTAGTTTAGTGAATTCGGTTGTAGCTGTTTGGGGACGAGTTAGAGATCCACGTGCTGAAATGACATGTTTCGATTTTCAAGTCCCCTGAATTCCTTCTTTTAAACCAAATTCACAAGCATGCGCAAGCCTTGAATCTGTTTCTGAATAAGGTCTATCAGACCTTTTTTCCCTAAAAATTATCGTATTAAGGTAGTCTGGGCTTTGGCCACTTATAGCTTCGTCTAAGTTATTTTATAAAGGATGGTTAATTGACCAGTTTTCAATTAGATTTTAATAATTTTTAATGCTAATTTGATTTATAAACTGAGAAAGGATTCAAGGATAAAACGCTATACATTTCTCACTTTTTCGATTCGAAGACATGTCATTTTTCATTGTGGATTACCTACTTGCACTGCCACACTTAAAATTAAAATGTCTCTCCATTTTGAAGTTCCCAATTAATGAATTCACCCAAACCTCGTTCTGTACGTACAAGTGGAAGATATCTAAAAAAACAATAATCATTTCCATTTGTGAGAGGATGAATACTTCCAACAAGAATGATACTAGTGATAGATTGTTATGCAAAAAGAAGAGCAATTGGAGTGCGGCTTATACGAAAGAAATCCAGTGACCTGATCTTAAAAGCGATTTTGGGGGCTTGTATGGGGTCAAGTAATATCCTCTGTTTCCTCTTCTCTAGTCTGTGAAAAACTCAACCAGGATTTACACAAATTGGCAAAATTTGTTATTGAATAGGCTCGGTAAAAGAGGTGAGACTGGGCGGTGAATAAAATTTTTTTGTCTGTTTAAATAAATGACAAAAAAGCGTTAATGTTTGGTTATTTTCAACCAATACTTTTAATAGAATATTTTCATGATGTTGTTATCTATGTAAATTGAAATGCGCGGGTAAATGTTGCACTATTTCAGAATCGATTTATTGAGATAGTAGATAGTCGTATTAGAAAGGTCATTATAACTTACATAGCAAAAGAGCAACTGAATTACTAAAATAAGAGGTCATTGTAACTAATATAAGTTGGAATATAAAGTCAAGATAACAAAGAATTTGTATTTTATTTGATTTGATTTTGAATTAAATCAAGAATTAAATCCTTAAATATCGTCAACTGGGTTTCATAATGATCTTCTGGTCAAAGTAGGCTGCATGAGATTAGCATGACAATTTTAGATGAAAGCAATCTTTGAGCAATTATGCGAGTAAAAGGAAAGTTTTATGCCATTGGTTACCTCGACTTTCTTAATTAAAAATAACTACTTTTACATCGACCTATGACTTGTTTAAGGTTTTAGAGACCGTTAAAATCGTCTCTCAAAGGTGTCTAGAGTCGGAAGGTGAATTATGAAGTGGTTTTATTTCAAGTAATTTCGAGTTTTTAAAAAAAATCATTTCCAATGACCCGCCAATTTGAAACGAATGACAGCGCGCTTGCCGAGAATACGTTCGAGTGAATTATTCATTACATTTTGCTTAGTATTATATAGTTAATGTAGTAAAAAAATAGCTACAAAGCCGTTGTCGAGTGACCGACCCCTCTCAATTGTAAGAAGGCAACCACGAGGCAGAAAAGCCGCCCACTTGCATTTTCCTTGGGCAAAAAAAATTAATTCCTAATTGACATGCATGCAGAGAGAGAGAGAGCGCGCGCTGTTCAACCTGGAAGTGGCACGCAATCGCCTTGAACAAAATGTTTGTGTGTCCAGTCACAACAGTCGCTTGTAGTTAACTTAAATCACAACTTTAATTAAGAAATATTATCTTTGTACATTTTAAATATATATATATATATATTCCATTTCTAATAGGCAAATAATTTATACACTGTGGTTATAATTCTTAAAAAATATTAACTAAAATAACAATCTCTTTCATTAAAAATTTGAGCATATTTCCACTCAAGCAGTATGTCGAAAGGATAAGACCCTAGTTAATAAAATTAAAATTGCACAATAATTAGCAGTTTACAAAAGTCAGAAAATTAAATTATACAATCGTCCATTATGAGCAAAAAATAATTCCATATATACTCAATACATATGTGTGTGTGTGCGCATATATGTACGTGTACATCAAATTAACCGAGTATTGCAGTTAAAATTGTGAATATAGAATAGTGAAGAAATAGTGACATGTTAAATTAAAAATGCATTTAAAATAAATTAATCCTAGTATTTAATATGCAACATACCGTTAGAAGTATCTATCCCCACGTTGGAACTTGGAAAAGAGATTGTTTGAAACATGAAAAGGAGGTGTGAGTGTTCGAGACTTTCAGCAAATTTGCGCTTGAACCCTGGTTGAATACGCCACCTATGCCGACGATAAGTCACGAGTAAGTGTGAACGAGTTAGTGATAGACCTGCGAAAAAAAAAGAAATTCAGTGGTGCAATTTAACCAAGTCGAAATCGTGTTACATTATAGGATGTGCATACAATTGTGAAATATTGTGTTGGATTAACACAACATACCCCAATATTAGGGTAAAAAGAGATGTGTTATTTCGTAAAGCTTCATTACATAGGAAATAACCTTGTCGGTACATTTTTACCTCGCTCTCACTGCCGACTACTACTGTGTGTGTGCATGCCCAAACGGTCGTCGACAAATAATCCCTCCGCCCTTAGTCCCCCCATTTTTGCTCCCAATCTCCTCCTGCTCTCGACGCGCTCCTCCTCCCCCCCCCCCCCCAACCCCCCACCCTCACCCCCTTTTGCCGACGGACCGACAGTCTGTCGGCCATCCAACCTAACTCCCCCGGCTCCGCCGTTTCACCTCCTCTAGACCCCCTACCCCACCCCTCTCTTCGGGCTGACTAAGTCGACAAATAGGGAGTACGCGTAAAGACTAAGCGGCTTCAAGCGTATCCTAACCAATCAGAGAGCGTCAACTCTGAAGCAAAAAAACCTCAAGGTCAGAGTGGCCGATTCGTCAAATGTGCGCATTGGTTGTGCGGAGATGCGTGTGGAGTTAGTGCTAATAAAATCAATACCTGTTGTGGTTCCAAGGCTTAGTCTATATATGTGTGTGTCGTGACTTCTTTCTTCTTATTTTTGGCCTTTTTGTTACACTTCAATGTATGATAAATTATCCTTTCTTTCACTATTATAGTCACTTGTGCGTCTGCCTTCAACCCTTTTTTTCTCCGTTTCGGGTACATGATGTTGGAAGCTGATGAATTTGTCTAAAGTTAAAATTATTTCCCCCCCCCCCCCCCCCCCCCCCCGCCCTTCCAACAAAAGGCACGCAGACTTCTGTTGCTGACCCACTCTGCATATCCTCTCACTCTCTCTCTCTCTCTCTCTCCCTCTCTTCCTCGGCTATCTATAAATAGGGTTTTAAAATCGTATCACATTTGGCATCACTCGAGTGGAATACAATAGGCTTAAAAAGAGAATAACCCGCTCATACTACTACCAGTCTCTTCTAAGTTCCCGAAGGATTTGAACTTTCTTTTGATCCAAACTAAATGCCAGCTGCCTTGGCAAATAGGAAATAACGAGGAAATGCTGGAACCCTCACATAACCATTAGAATAAATACTGCAATTAAAAGCCAAAAAACGGAGTCAGTTCTAAAATTGAAAAAAAAGTCGAAATGCGTGAAAGGTAATTGCCGAGATTAGCGGATCGCTTAAATCACTCTAGTAGGTGTTGAGAGCTTCCTAAATGGACTTAATATTTTTTAATATTAAAACACAGTCCTTTTTTCATGAGAAATCAGAACTGGTGTTCAGTTTTAGAGGCTTCAAATAAATTAGTAGATACTCAATGTTAACTTATGTAAGACAAGAGATTTCAGCGCCGTAATAACTTTAGAGTGATAATTGCTCTCTCTATGAAAGAGGAAAATTCCTGTTGTATCCAATTATGAAGTAAAATAGTTTCCTAAATAGTCGATGAGGGCTTTAAATAAGTATAATTCATAAACACTTTGTGGCAATAGAAATGAGTTGAGATTGAAATACCCATACTACTTATACCGCAAATAAGCCTACAGCGAAACTCAATTTATGTCAGACGAAATTCACAAAACGCGCTCTTTTAATAACACCTTTTTTTATTCTGAAATAAATTTTACTACGTGATTCATCTTGAACATTATTTCAAAGTATAAAAATACGAAGATTTTTCAATCAGAATTATGTGAGAATTTCTTTAAATCGGGGTAAATTGATTCGAAAATCGACATTACGGATTTGCTCTAATAAGTATACTTTGATAATCGCTCTATTAAACGGTCCTACAACTTATTGACTTTAATCATTCTTCAAGTACTGAAACTAATTTCATTGTTAAATTTGTGCGGGATGACGGACGTGGGGTTTGTAGACAGTACTTTCTTCAAATTTACCAGGTGAATGGTGTCCCATTTGTATATGCACTTAAAATCGATGAAAAGCGGACGCCAATATAAACAAAACCTTAATTTTGATCTCCAAATTTAGGATTAAATTGAAACAGTTAAATCAGAATTTAAAATGTTACTCAGATTAGGAGGGATTCTTCAGATTCTCTTACTCTCTCACTCCTATTGAACCTTTTCTTTAACGTTTAAATATACTTCCATCTCTCTCTCTCTCTCTGCTAAATTAAAAGTTATAAAATGTTCGCCGATAATAAAATAATAACAAAATTGCGATCGCGATCATTTCCACTCCTTCAAAGTGAATATTACATCTGAAAAAGAAATGACAATTTCTTATTATCTAAAGCCCGTGATTTGTATAAGGTGGAACTGAAATTGTGCCAAATTTATAACATCAATGAGAGTTCATATATATATGGGGTGCGCGATAGGCTTGCCTCCATGTGGTGCAGTTGACTTCTCACTTCAAGCTACCATCACCTCACTCTATGCCATATTCGACTATATTCACAGTACTCACCTCACCTTTTGCTACCTTTGTGTTTGTCTCTTTTACATCTTTGAAACACTCTTCTGTTCCCCCCCCCCCAACTTTTTTCCCTTCGATGTTCCTTCCCCTCTGTGAAGCCTTAAGTCAACTAAAGGGGTAATGATAACCATCAAACGCCTGCCATTTGATATATATATATATATATATATATTTATACCTAACTCAATCATCAGTCAATTATGACACACACACCTGAGAAAATAAACTCTGCAAAATGTTATCCAAGGGGATAAAGTTCAACCTCTGAGGCAGTTCAAAAGTAAAATGGAAAAAAAGCTTTAGTACTTTAAAAGACTGAAAGACAACAACCTTCCACCCCAATGACAATAATTCAATACTCCATTTGTCCTGAATACCAAAGTCTTATGTAACACCAATTTACTTCCTTTATAGGAATAATAAAGTTGAACTCGCTTCCTCCTTAAAACTTCAGATCTGTGTTTCTAATTTAGATGACATCAGCGGAAGAGGGAGAGGCGACGTTCTCAGTTTGCAGTTTCACCAACTGCTCAGCTAAAGTGGTTGAAGATCAGCTGATATGGCAGAACAGATTGAGGCCGAAAATGTGACGTAGATAAGGAGAAAAGTTCAAAATACGTGTGTGTGTGTGTGTGTGTGTGTGTGTGTGTGCGTGTGTGTGTGTGTGTGTGTGTGTGTGTGTGTGTGTGTGTGTGTGTGTGTGTGTGTGTGTGTTAGATAAAAGACAATTAATTGTGGGTAGACTTCAAGTTCACTGTAGATATTTCCCCCCACGAAGCACTGAGACATCTTCCTTTTATTTTATCATGGGTAGCAATTAAATATAAAATGAAATAGCTCGATAAATACCACCCCCCCCCCACCTCCCCCACCCAAACAGCTAATAGCGCCCAGTCCTCAAAAACAAACAACAGCAACATGAATAATCAATGAGTTTTTCTTTCCGGCAAACAACTCTAGTTTCTGCTATGGGATAAGTCTCCCTCTCTCTCTCTCTCTCCCTCTGGCGTGTTTTTCTCTACGGTAAACCGGATGAATGAATCACCCATGGTAATTGGTCGATCCGTAATAGTGTCAACAGGCATTGCCACCGTCACCGCCTCCTAAAGTCGTTGGAATGACCTTGGCAGGAGTGAGTCTTAACTACCCTCATCTCTGTGCCATTTTTTGTCCCCTATCTAAGACGTCAGCTGGGTAAAAAAAACGTGCAACTCGCATGACTGAGCACTATCAGTCCTGGTTGGATATTGGTGATTAACAGGGGAGGGGGGAGGGGTCTAATTGCAGATCTGATTTCGAACTAAGACTAAGACCCCTTAACTGAGACTATACTCGCAGCTTAATTGAAAATAATCAAGTGATTAATTGTGATCGTCATATGATGGTATGCGGAATTGTCTAATTTAAGTGCAGATATGGCGATAGGTCGATCATTAAAGAAGAGGGAGGGGGGGGGGGGGGCCGAAGGTTTTCTAGGTGTTTGAGAAATCGCAATCTAACTGTACCTCGCCTCACGAACTTTTAAAAAAGTTAGCTTTACCCACAATGAAGGAAGCTTGAAGATTCACAGCATCTTGTACCTCAGATAAGAATGTAAACATATGTAAAAATTGGTTTGAAATTGAAGTACATTTATGACATTTCGTGGAGATTTTAATCTAATGTACTGGTATGATACATGCACTAATAATGTCAAAGCATTAATTGACCATAAAGCGCGCTACTCTTTGGGGCAATTATGCTCCAAGCAGTAAATCTCAGAAAGTAGAAAAAAATAATTTTATATTTATTTAAAAAAAACACTTGATGGAATAGCAACCACTTGCAGTGCGCGTCAATAAGATAGACACTTTAGATAGCACCGCTGTTCTCCCCCCCCCCCCCCTATTTTATAGTGAACAAAGAAATATGACAGTAGATTAGATTTTGCAATTTCAATCGATATTTAATTATTAAATCCGTCATCATAGTGAAAAATCTAACAGTAAAAACCGATAGGCAAATAAGAAAACAATTAAAAGGAGGCGTTTTCGTGACTATCGGAATTGGAGGTTGGTTGGGACAGAAATGTTTAAGGTATAAATGAAGAATTTGAATTGTAGACACTCATAATGTTTGAGAGAGAGACAAAACGATAAAGCAACACTGATGTTCATTCAAGAACGCCTTTACTGTACATTTCACAAAATTCAAATGTAGTCATAGCTTCACAAATGCGATGGAAGACAAAGTTTAAAAAGAGAATTTTTGTGGAACTTCGGATATTTAAAGAACAGCTTCTCAGTTCTTAGCTCAGTATACAGAAAATATGCATATATTTCATGATTGAATAGAAAGTAGGAAAATTGTTGGTTTACTGGGGTTGACGACGAATTATGATAAAATTAGAAATATATACAAACTTTACGTCTTTTTGTTATGGAGTAGTACCTTCAAGTGATGCATCCTCATGCTCATACGACAAGAAAGTCTATAAACCGGCAGTTGACTTCTGACTTCAAACTACCATGACCCGACTCTATGTCATATTCGGCCACTTTCACAGTACTCACCTGACCTTTTTCTCTATCTTTGTGTATGTCCCGATTTTACATCTGTGTATCACTCCTCTGTTCCCCCCCCCCACTTCACTTTTTGGGACTTTGATGTTCCCTCTCTCTGTGAAGCCCGAAGTCAACTAAAATGCTAATGAAAACTATCATAAAGCCTGCCATTTAATCAAAGTAAATATGTAAATGTTATGGAATTGAATTAAGCTTCAAAGGTGCAATTTTTATATGACCTTCACCAGGCGACAATGAAAATGAGGGATTCGAGCTTGCGCAATTTCAAGTGTACTAATTCTTAAGTTGTGAAAGAGCCATACACTCGTTTACGAAGCATGGTAAGGTATAAAACGAACCTAAAATTTGTTATACAAAAATTGACAAAAATATCCATAAATCATATCCTAACTGGAATTAACGTTGAGGGTCTCCTAAAGTAAGTAGTAAGATATAAGATTATAAGAAACTTGCACAATTTTTTTAAGGAAAAGATCGTCTCTTCTCTCGTTCTCTTTACGGAGTGTAATTTTAGAAGTTCTACATCAATGTGATCGAATGTTTTTGAAATGAGACCCAACAATCGATCTATTTTGCAATAAATTGATTAGGCAAATTGATTTTTTGTGCTCGAAATGAGCAAGACTTCGAATAGATCAACAGGGCTGAATATTCAATGATTGGAATTTATCATTTTTCAAGCTGGTAAATCCCAAAAAAATCTCAATAATATTACGAAAAGAGTCTTATTATTATCACGCTAAAGTGTAAATATAATTGAGAAAAATTCCTTAAAGTATCTTGAAATGAAGTGAAAATATAATTTAGCTTTATGATTTCATGGGATTGCCTTTTGAAATGTCAATAATCCTTATATATATATATATATATATATATATATATATATACTGCCTGCATTAACTAATATGAATTCCAATCACATAATAAATGTTCATTAATACAGCGAGAACGTCTCTTTTCCTAATTCTGACTAAGTTAGTAGCTTATTGGTCTTTACATAACACACAATACTAAGATAACCAGCCCTAAACTTGTATCAAGGAGGAATATTGTAAGCATCATTAATCCAAAAATCCACTTCAATTCTTTCCATTATGAGTAATGCCAATCAATCTTCTCGTGGACAATTTGAGGAGAAATAGGACAATGAGGAAATAACTGAGCAAACGACCAAGCAATAGTAGAACATGTTCTCAAAAGAGAGTTGAGAAGTGAACGACTGAAACTCCATAAATCTTTTATTCAAATTTCTTTAATCTTACCACAAAACTACATCTCATAATCTAGTTGTCAGAATGCCCGAATAGAGCAATGCTTAACTAACGTACAAAATAAGTGGATAATTATAAACTGATTAAAATAATTGAATAATCGAAGTATAATCTGATACGCATTCTCAAAATTTGGTAGAATGAGAACTGGATAGTTCTTTTAAGGTTAAAATAATTGCCTCTTTATAAATGGGGGAGGGGACCAATTTTCCCACTAACATTGAACTCTCGAACTGGCAAACCTATAATTACGTGAGCGGGGTGCGCAATAGACTTACCTTCACGTGGTGCACCCTGGGCAACGTATACTTATACAGCAAAAAAGTCTATTGATCGGCAGTTGACTTCTGACTTCAAATTTCTATGGCCCGACTATTTTTCATATTCGACCCCTTCACAGTACTCATCTTACCTTTTTTATGCCTTTGTGCCTGTCTGTCTGTCTCTTTTACCTCTGTGAATCATTATTCTGTCTCCCATCTCGACTTTTTGTCACTTTGATGTCCCTTCTCCTCTTCATGAAGCCCCGAAGTCAGTTCCAGGGCTAATGACGACTATCAAAACGCCTGCCATTTGATATAAATAAATAAATAATTACGTGAGCTAAATATATTATGACGTGTGCTTACTGATAGAAACCGTGATCATGAAAACATGACTGCTTTTGTAAAATGGTGATTAGGTTTAGTATGGAGCGAAATTTTACATGAAATTTAGTATTAAAATATTAGTTGATTGAATAACTTTGACCTTTGTCTGTTAATTTGAGCCGTATATTATGATATCGCATTTTCCCACAATTACGATTGTTCGAAGAAAGGTTTTGTAATGTTAAGTGCATCTTAGCGAATAGATATCAGCCCTATAATAACTGCCTGAAGAAAAGTAAATTTACCGATCTGGCATGAGAAATCTCTCATTACCAGTGTTCCACAATCACCAGGATAAATAACTTTAGAAATGCGAATAATAGGTAGACGACGAGAGGAAACCATACTATAAGACCTTAATCCATATTAAGTCAAAAAGATTTGAGTTTGTTTTGAAAATAAATTAATTATGAGGTAAAGGTGCCGGGGGGAAGAGGGTTGGGAAGATTTGTAACTCATTTTGAGTTGCAGATTGTGTCCTCTCACTGAATGTGTAATTCACTAGGTCATGTTTGCAACACATTCAAGCTCCATTATTTGTCTTCCGGATTGGTAGGGAAATTCTACGATACTCAGAACGTAAAATTCAAATGATTGATCATGCTATTCGCATATTTTTCTCGACAGAATGACACTTGCTAGCATGACATTGAAAGAACCCCCCCCCCTCCATATGTTTTTCATTGCCATTCCCCTCAAACTAATCTTCCAGCTATTCAATTACTCCTTGTTCTGAGATGCCTTCAAGTGATTAAAAGATAGGCGAGATTTACCATTTATAAAGTCAATCACGCCGAAAATCCAATTATAAGCACAGGATTTCGGTGGAGGCAAATATGGAAAAAACACCCTATTGCTTCACGTTTGATGATCAAGAAATGGTGCAAGAAAAGGAGAAAAAAAAATAAGAGGCACGAACTGATTCAAGCAGATTCCCAAAATGTCACACATCATTTTGAACTCCCCAATAACGCTGAATAATGCATCCGCTAACTTTCTTTCATTTTCTCTAAATGTCATTATTGTGAAAAGAGATTTGATTTGTTTGGGTCAAGAGGGAGATAAATGCGCTATTTATGCACGAGGAGAGAGGGAGAGAGTTTGACAAATATTTGGCCACCCGCCCCCCCCCCTAAATCCCCCCCTCAATCCCCCCCCCCTAAATATCACTTATTAAAATTAAAAGCCAATGCTGTAGTGGTGACTACTTTAATACAATTATTAAATTATTATTTTTTACCCATTAACAAGAACGGCGCGTTAATTTATCATTTTACGATAATTAATGAAAGAATTTGAAGCAATTATATAAAACCCATTTATTAGATTTTAAATGAACATGAAATTTTATCCGCGTTTTCGTAACTATACAATAAATAATTTTGACTGTTATTGATAGTTCAAGATAGAATTAAATTTAAATCGTATTCGTTAGATTCAAGTGTAAATAAAATTTCACGTGTTATTAATTTATACTAACGACAAATGAGACGAACTTAAAGCAAGTTAAAGCGTTTATTTATGACTGATATCAACTTAATTTAAACTACACATAATTACACAATGACTAAGAAGTTATACCTGTTTACACAAGCGGTTGAATATGAGATCTGATAATTTTTTAACAAGATTTTGGAAGGAACCTGTTTTCTTTAATTTGAGATACTAAATAGTGTACACCAAATCTGCTAGATATTCAATCAGTAGATTTGCATCGAGCATCGAACTAAGCAGGAAGTACTTCAGTCAAATTACGCCTCCGGGGAATCGCTTGCGTAGAATACTTGTCATTCCATTGAGCAACTTTGAGACAGTCTCCTAGTAACGTCTACCTTAAATTGAACAACTAACCTACTTCATTTTGGATAAATCACTATCTTGGTATGAAAACATGCATATATGTATCTACTTACACACTTGCTTGGTTATAGTTATATATAAAATGCGCTAAAACATAGCGAATTAGAATTCACTTTTTAGGTGACAAATTGCTATATAGATAATTGCTTTATAAGTACAGAAAAACGGGGGGTGGAGGGGTTGAACTCCTCTCAAAGCGTATTCGTTTCCCATTAATGAACGAATAAAAAGCCCATTTTCAATAAAGTAATTACATAAAGAAACCCTGTGGCAATTTAAAAGGGTTTATCTTAACTAAAACTTGTATTCTTGCGGAATTATTAACTGCAGACATCAAAAATCGCTAGGAAAGTAAATAGGAGATCACTGTGTACCTTTTGATATCAGTTCAAGTGGGGATGACTGTATTTTACCACTAAAGCGGTTACTTGTGCTAGGTAGATTGATGGACCCCATAAGACCCAAATACAAAATGAAAGTAAGCATTCAAGTTTAGGAAAGATAAAGGAAAGCGAAGCATACTTTTGGTACGAGCTTGTACAGAGCGATGCAGCCAAGGTGCTGAACGTTGAGGTATCTGCGTGGCAGAGTCGAAGAAATCAGGTCGATTGATTCGTCCTTTGCGAAGACGTCGGTTGAAAGCGCACGCATCGGCGAGGATCGAATCATAACGCAGACCAACAGACGCATTTACATTGGAGGCAGCGGTAGGCACAAAGTCGTTCGGTACTGTGGAGACGGTTGCCATGCACACGCGCGCACCACTCACACTGCCACTTCTGCTACTGCTATGTGCTTCCTCTTCGTCTAATGCTACTTATTCTTATTCTTCTTCTGCTGCTTTCTTGCAAAGATGTCTGTACCCGGTGAAGTGAACCTATTGCTCTGCCGTCCACGTCTGTCTTCTGTGCTTTGACTGTTGTCCCGTATTCCAACTGAAAAGGGTGGTACAAAGATGTGGAGAGGCCGTGAAGAAGGGAGGAGATTTTAGCAACTGAGGCGGAAAGGGGAGGGCGTACGCTACTCTATTGGCTCATTACGCTGCCAATGGAAAATTGGCGATGCGCAGTGCGGTGATATGGAGTCACCCAATAGGAAAAGAGCAACGGAAGTTTTTTTACCCTACTAGCACATGCACACGTACAAGCTTATGATAATGTGCTACCGTTACTGTTAACACACAAGGGCTAATATTTTTTTACGATTTTTTCTGAAGCTTAATGCATTAAATCATGTTTACTGTGGAAAAATAACGGTTATTAATCGTAATGGTACAGAAAAAAACTGAATTTGCCTCCGAGTGTGGAATCCTATCGAGTAGTGCTGTTAGTAATTTGCCAACGGGAAATATATGATATGCCCAATTAAATAGCTCGAAATATGCGATGGAGATAATATTCGTGAAATACAAATTTTTTTCCCAAATAAATAATAATCATTTCATTGATAGAAAACTTCTATTTTTACTTTTAGTGAAACTAATTACAACACTTGAATAAACGAATTTGATTGGTGCTTATTATAATGGGCCAATTATTTGCATATTATTAAAATTTTTGAATAATTTATTGAGGTAGAAAAAATATTTGCCCATTGGAAATATATTTTTTTGTTATTGGTGTTTACTAAGCCGTGGTGAGTCTTTATTTGTAGTCCAACTTCAAAGAAGCTTTTAATTACAAAATACCCCCTAAAATGTCCGCGAAAACACTATTCGGTTGAATTTGCTTTGGATAATATTATCCTTTCAGATATCCTAGAAACAGACCTAATTTTTGGAATATTGAACTAAATTGTCCAATATATATATATATACGTGTGTGTGTGTGTGTGTGTGTGTGTGTCCCAATGTTTCTAAATGAGAACACTTCAAGCATATGTCAATTTAGCCTCTTTACTTCGAGTGAATGGCACTGCAACTAAGGTCATCTACTATCAATCGAATTACAAGATGACTTTAGTATTCCCACATCTACTTAAACTCATATACCGTTAATCCATTTTATTCACAAACTTTGATATCTACGTTACTGGTTATAAATTAAGTATAGTTTAACACAGTCAGACGTCCAAACGTCGTAATGTTCAACAACAGTCTATTGAAAATGCTAGAGAGATTTGTGAAACAAATTTCATTTGGAGAGCCCACATTGGAAAAGCTTCTTATTCCAGAAATTATTTCTAGCATCATTTTGAATGAAAAGAAAACAGGCCTGTTAAAATTGGCAGAATATCAGTAAATACTAAGCGAGGAACATCGCTGTCTTTCGAGCTGTGAACTGCATACTACAGACCCATCAAATCCAAACATGGTCCTGAAGACCTTTAGAAGTTAATGTACCCCTCCAAGTGGGAAACACGATTTCAACCCCCAATTTGGAGCCTCGCTTCGCCTCCTCTCAGTAGCATATGTAAGCCATGAATCCCCACTCAAATCGAATATCAAATACGAGCCTGTAACCGAATCGGAAAAAAAAACAATGACCCACGACAAGTCTCCTCTTTCAAAACTCCAAACATTAGTGACCAAGAAATTTACCAAATTTGACCTTAAAATACACGTAAAAAGACCAATCTCTCCTCCAAATTCATTATAAACACTCGCCCACAGCAGTGTTGTCCAAATACGCAGTTAGACGACCACCTAATATCAGATACGTCAATCATCCTACTACTACTACTACTGTCTCTCCCACCACCTCCTCCTCCTCCTTTGTGTCAAATAGAAACCGTTCCTGGAACAACATTAAGGGCAGAGTGTATTTATACGGCATATAGTGACATGCACCGATAATAATAGCAATGATAAGGACGATGCTTTTTAATGAGCACAATGAGTGAACACAGAGATGAGTAGTCGTCGTCATGCTCAAAAGACAATTTTCACTTTGCAGTAAATACTTTTAGGGCAATAAGCAGTACACATTACGGGATATGTACAAGGTAGAGAAAGTAATAAATCATTCCCGAGAGCCTGCTTTGTGAAGACTGCGAATTTTCTTGACCTCACGGTAGAGTACTTCACGTTGAATCAGAGGGTCGAAAGCTATCACTTCCTTCTTGGTATTCATTTGACGTGGACGGAACCCAATCATTCGATGACCCGATACTACGGATTCCATCATCACCATTACTGTCTTTATGAAGCCCTGACTTGCTGACGCCGACATCTCTACAAAAAAATTCGTTAAAGTAAACTAAATAAAAGAGCCATTAACTTGCACCCAGCCCAACAAAATTAGTAAACTGCTTAAATTAATCACTTAAGCAGTTACCAAACAAACAGCCAAATCAAATACCAAACAAAAAACAAGATAGTGAGGATGCGTGTGGGCCAATAAAAAGGAATGTATTCTCGCAGAGCATTCTGTACAGACTACTACACGTTCAGGAATAACGTCCAAGAATTACAGGCACTCAAAATAAATAAAAAATGCATTTGTCAGGAGGCGTAGAAAGACCAAGAGGACTAAAACTTGTACTGCAGATAGAGAGTGTCCCATTTTTCCAATCCAATTTCATCGACACGAGTAGAGCGGGGTAGATCGTTGAGTCGGAAATTGGGGTAAAAGTGGATGAGATCATACCCTGAGGTAGGAAAACCATGGCGCTCGAAGTAGGAAAATAAGAACTGAAATGGGGGTAAAAGAAGATTAGATTACAGTGCGAAAGATTTTAGTTATATTTGTAAGACCTAAAGTTAGGCTAGACAACTATTAACCAATAGCACTACAAGGGCTAACGTGCAGGTGTACAGATGACCTGAGATTGGTGCTTATTGGTGCACAACCAAGCAGGTGGACGATCAAACTAACCTAGTTCAAATTACCTACAATACACTCCATCACCTACCTCCAAAGTCAGATTTGGAAGAAGCTCAAGAATTGTCCGTTCACCGGATGGGAACCGTAGAGCCACTCGGAATGCATTATCGCCATTTTGAATCTGTGGTAATTCAGTTGGGAGTGGTTCTTTGAAAGAAGAGAGATCGTCTATTGAGGAAGAAGTCGTAATTGACAAGTGACTCAGTCGCTCATCAATATTAGTTGCCCGACGCTTGGACGAATGACTAATTATCTCCTAGTACAAAGGAGAGAAAAAAATTATCTTCAGGTTAGCAGAATATACTACTCAAATCACTATTCAGCGTACCATATCATCAGCCCCGTCATCAACTAAAGGACGCTTTTTGGTGGTTGGCCTATGTGTCACTGAAGAGGAGGCGGAGGACATCGGGGTGTTTTCATGTGCTAATCCAACTTGTTGTGGCGTTATCTGTTGAATAAAGGAAGAAAATTATTCACATTAGTTAATAGAGATAAAATATAACTAAAATAGCTGCTGACCTTGAACTCTGCTGTTTAAAATATTTCGCATGTCACCCCAGTACCACGATCAAACAACTCACAACATCGAGGACATGAACTTAGATAGAAAAATTGGCATTTTGATATATATATATTTTGGTACTACAACGTGAATTATAGTCCTCATGAGAAAGCTCCTGGAATCAAACCAAATTAAGACGCTTGGTAGTAGCTTGATCTAATTATGGTAAACTTCCCGATTCATTACTCCACTACTGCTTACATCCCATCTCTCGATTGAAACTGCTAAGCTTTTACCTTGCCAAAGGTAATAATAATAAGCGTTGACTAAGGTCAATCAAACGTAACATTGCATGTTTTCTTTGAAGCTTTAATCTCCCAACCCCCACCACCCCCCCGCCCCCCGCCCCAAAAAATGTCGCAAGGATTACATCGCAACCTATTGTCATGTGCCACTTATGCATACTTTTGTTAACAAACTATTCTCCATTTGACGTGCTTCAAAGGGAATTTATCATGGAATCCGATCCAGAGGTCTTTAAGCGCAAAAAACTCCTGTTCTTCTTGTGTTTCATGAAAGTTCAAGCAGAGCCAGTATCTATCACCCACTCATTCACATAGATTTTTTGACCAAAGATAAACACTTCAATAAGACGATATAGTTAACCTTGTGACCATGAGATAAGATAGATAGATGGACAGATGTACTGAGAAAGCACAAGGACGATCACATTCTCAATATGAACACACTAACGACATGAGCGATCACCTGAGAAACATTAGGGCTTAGACCTTGAATTTTTTAATTTAAAAAGTGTACAAGGAAGCAATGATTAAGTAAAAAAGTAGACAACTTGATAAGCCTCTGAGCTTTATTACTTACTTATCAGTGACTATTCTACCGTCATTTGTATTTAGATACTTCTCCAAAAAAATCTATTAAATCGATATCACAGGACGTTTTCAATAAAGTCCACAGTGAAAGCAAGCAAGCCACTTCTAGCTATTATGACACAACGTGACACAGAGAAACCAAATCCAACAGCAGAGGGGAAGAGTGAAAGGGAAAAGCGAAAGGCAAGGAGAAAAAAACACCAAAGTGGGCATGCACACCAACTGAAACATACACGTCTGATTGGTGCTCACGCTCGGCCAATGAATGGACAGTGAGAGAAATGAGCGAGAGAGAGAGAGCTCGTGGTTGATGCATTGAGAGGGCTTTTTTCTCTACTTTTCTTCTCTCTCCCTTCCTCCCTCGCTAACTACTAACTCACAATTGAGTGATTAAGTAGTATTGAACAAAAAACACAGACTCACAGAATGATTTGATGAGGTAGATGCGTTTTGGTTGACAGATGGAGGATTTTCTGTATTCGGGCTCGCGTTGGGCCTTAGAGGAGGAAGATTTGGTACAATAGCGGACACTAAAGGAGGAAAAACCCAAAATTTGACCAAGACTAGTGGCATAAGATGCATTTGCGACGGTTAATGGGTTAGTAACGAAATCTGTTAGCTAAAGCAAAACATATGCCAATGCAAATGCGCAACGTTAAGAATTTTTGGGGAGTCATTTAATATCTCTTTATTGTTACTGCAAGATGAGCTTACAATAATATACTATTTAACATAAAAAGTCATCCGTTGCAAACAATTCATGCCAATTTGAAATGGTACTCATGAAAATGTAATCAAATGTTCTCGAATCTCAATGAGTAGACCTACCAGATGTTACGCATGACTATGCCCATATGATTGAAATAAGTAAAAATTGGAACTGTCATCGCCACGATGACCAGTGAATTCCAACCAACGACAGTAATACGAGCTTTAGACCGAAAATTGATTCACAAAGCTACCCCAAATTTGCATATTTATTTCAATTTACAATACACAAATAAAATGCACCAGGAGAGTGTGAATACCACCCTGGATTGCTTGCAGCAATACTCCATTTCACCTCAAACTCACCGAGGTGCGTTAAAAACTTAGGATGAAATGTGATACACACCAGGGACACATCTTCCATCTGCTGAAGACTTACGTCTAGACGAGTGCATTCTGTACTTCTTCTTACACACACCTCCTTTTCCTCTAATCAGAACACATCAATGCCATGTATAGAGCATCCCCTTCCTCACCGGCTTGGTGACCGCGAGTTAGTACAGGCCCTATTACAATTTCGACCTGCCAAGGCTTATGTCGGTTTTAACCTGCAGCATGGAAAAATGTTTACAAATGGTATATATATATATTTTTTTAACTTTGACCTTAAAGTATAGAAATGCGAACGCTAGAAAATCAATGGGCCTAAACACCCCTTTCAACTACCTTAACTTCACCCTAAAAGACAACGAAGTCTCTCTTGCATCGTCAGTCAATCAATTAAAACTAATGCAAAAAGGTCAAATCTAATTAATTCCTTAGGAACTTCTACCATTTAATGAAAGGATTGAGGCCACCATTTGAATGCTTTAAACTTGGTCAAATCTGAATCAGATTGTGCAAACGAAAGCAAGCCTTCGCCCTTGAAATCTGACACCTAGTGCAATCCCCCCCCCCCCCCCCCCCTCCCCCCAAACACGCATTCGAAACCAAACTTCAACTGAATAGAAAGTCCCTAAATGGACTATTATACTTCCATAAGGAACAAAATTAAGGAAAAAATGGCCTGGACTCACATAAGAGGGGGAGTTCTTGATTATAAAATCTATTGGAGATTTTTGTGTGTGCAGAAACAATCAAACTCTCACATAATTAAAAGAGAGGGTCTTCCTTATTTCTGATAAGCGGCTAGGATGTGGATGGTAAAAATAGCATTAGTGAGAGGAGACACATAGAGCTTTAAAATCTTCGCTAGTCCTTACCCAACAATTTTACGAAAGCATAGACAATTAAGACACCAAAACATCATCCTAGATATTAACCAAATAAAACAACAGAATTCTAAGTAGATTTGTCAATTTCGCTACTATTAGCACTGATCAACACAAATGAAGATCAAAACAAAATAAATGAGAGAAAAGTATACAGATTAGCACAAAATAACTTAATTTGTTAATTTTATCCATATTGATTGCTTTAAATGATGAAAATTAGCAACCAATGGTATTATGCAATGCGAGAAGGTCTGGATATGTTCCTCCTTAACAGAGAACTAAAATAAAACTAGAGCAGATCATATTAAAGAGCAAGAAACTACTACAAAGATGTTAGTGAAAGTATATCCAATGGCACTCGCAGATTCAACTGTGGTGGCGACACATTTTACTAAACCAAAGAAACATTAAATTGGAGCAAAAAAAATCTTTCAATTATGAGTGGTTTTCATGCAAGAAAAAAATCGAACCAGTAACCACCTTTGCACTTTCACAGGTGTCAAGAGCTTTTAAAGTCAAATATGCAACACTTCCACAATAGATAGAAGTTAAGCTTAGTTGATACTTACAGGCTTGAAAGACATCTTCTGGTTCCTTGAGATCATTCCAGTAGAATGCTCTTTGACGAGTGAAAGGGTTTAAAAGGGCGAAATGTGTTGTTGGAGGTGCAGCGTTGTTTGAATCGGGGAATGCACTTTGATAGGCCAATCCTTCTTCGGAAGTAGTTATAACCTAAACGACGTAAAAACCGATTATAACATTCGTCCAAACGGAAGCAACTCTCCAGTTTTAAAACCAGACAACTTATTTCCCGAACATTCTACCTTGCTCAGAACGCTATTAAAGTCTGTGGAGTCTTAAGCTTTCTATGACAGTTATTATGATTTTTTTGTAACTATACTAGACGCTTAATTCCGTATTGATTTATTGCCTACTTAGTGTTTGAAAAAAAACTGGCTTCGAAAGTTTGTAGCGTGCCGAAAAATCGAGGAGTTCTTGAACACTTTGAGATCTCCATAGAATTAATTTTAAATAGCCGTGGGAAGAAAGCTCTTCCTGGACAGACATTGGCGTTTGGTCATGAATCATGATATTCGAAGATGGCTTGCAAGAACAAATCTCCTTAAGCCATTACCCCCCGAATTGATGAGCCACTGACCACCTCTTGTTATGCCTTGCTTTAAACGCAGGGTAGAGTAGACACTAGATATCCCCCTGGCGTTAAAAAAATTCTCGTTTCTCTTAATAAAATATAGATGTGTTTAGTCACTTCATATTCTTAAACCTGGGACTGAGAGTAATTAGTTTGGGAATGCCCATTCCATGATTTGCAATTGTAGCTTGCTACTATAAACATTCTAGGAAGCTCCAATAGAATGCTACGACTGCCTATTAGAATTAAGACTTGGCAAGGTAGAAATATCTTCAATTAACCGTTATATAATCCACATCTGCCCAACTTACCTATACATTCTGATGAGAATTAGCTAACTCATGACTAAATGAGCTCAAATAAATTTTTTAATCACTGATAACTTGGTAACAAGCAGTGTTATTCATTAATCATTGCTAACTTCAACTAAATCAATTCTCCATTGGAAGTGAAATAAATTTTACAATAACCTTACATCTAATTATCCACAGCACACTAAATGAGGCAAACTAGCACATCACCTTAGATTATTGTACTAGTGCGCAAACAAATAGCTTAGTGCATTTCATCAATCCAAAAATTTGATCAAATCGACTTAAAAGTAATTAGTGCAGAAACAATAAGTAGTGCAAGTAGTTTCATTTATTGTACTTTCACAACTTCCCTACTTCAAAACGCCACTCTCTGCGTCTGCTGCAGCGTAACACAGAGAGTCAAACTTGAACGATCTATGCTCTGTTTGAGACTCATCTGTTAATCAAATCTACTCGCTCTATCCTGCAAAAAGTACAAGTACAATAAAGGCGACATGACCATTCACACCAACTAACTAAACCGTCAACACAACCCACTCAATATGGTGACCATAGCCCCACTCACGAAACGAATAAAATCTCTAAATTTAAATGTTTAGATATTATTGATGTCACGTCAAGACACCATCTTTACTCCGCAATATCTTCCCAAAATTAAAATGTGTACAAGCGCTTTATTTCAGCGTCATGGGTAATTACAAACAGCAGCCTATTATATTAAATATAGGACAACATTAAGTCATAACGCACCTGGGTAAAAACAAAGTTCAGTAGAATCAGGTTAACGACCTTGATATTTGACCAAACTTTCTGATTGAATGTATGGCTCGTGGGGAGGCTAGGATTGTAGACATCAATGAGGAGATATCGGCGTTCCTTCATAGCCCGATTTATTGCCTAAAGTGAAGGAAATTTAAAAGGTTGTCAAAAAAGCCCTGTAAGTAAAAGCCACCAGACACAAAATCACATCCATTTGTCCCAATAATAATACGAACAAGCAGAATAAAGTACAACGCTTAGTAAGCTGAAGAAAGCTTAAAAATAATAAGTGGGTAACTGGCATGGAACCGTTAAATTAAATGCATATAATGGTGTTGTAAGTGGTGAAATCCTAACAAGATGCATGCATAACCAGGAACGGTTTAAAAGCCAAACCTCTTTAAATTTGACTTGCACAATACCCAATATACGGCTCCCCTGAAATACAAGACGATCACATATAAGTGTAATGGCAAAATAATGAAATATTTGAAGAGCTTACTTCTCGGATTGAAACATCGGAAGAATTTATATTGCTATCTATAGATGTTAACTCTAAAATAAAAAATATCGAAGTAGATAATGGAATGAAAAGCAGAAATTAAAATGAGATTTTAGAGTTACCTGCGAACGAAGACATAGCGCATTCATGGGTTGTTAGCTCACGATTTTGATAAGATCTGAATGCACTCTCAATGTCTCCATTATTTGCCTCTAGATATTTGACTGCTGTCTGTCTATCACATGCTGTAAAAATGAGAAAATAATTATATAAAAAGAATGCTTGCTTGTAATTTTCATAAAATTTTCCAATATCGACATAATTCATCAAAGCATAAGATCGGCCAAAGATCAAATTTGTGGGCACAACTGAATGCGTTATAAGAAAGCTTGGATATATATCGCAATATTTTCCATTGTTTTATGCGCTATTCACGATTTAGTCCTCTTTGTTCAGTTAAATTAAATTTTTATTTTAATTTCCAACTCTATGTTCAATTTTGAGTATTTTTATTTTTGATTTTGAAAATATGTTTACACGCGTTCAAAATTGCAAACATTTTGATTAACTTTGTCTTTTAACTTATTTAACCTAAAAAGTCTTTTCTGCTTCCTAAGTATTTTTTAATTAGACGATTTTTTTGAAATAAAAATCTTTTTTTATTGCCACTTCCATTGGCATGAGCCATTTTTGTGTTAATTTTGTGGCTTAAAAAAGAAATTAGAGAAAATTCTGCATTCCAAAATTGTTAACAATGATAAATTTGTCCATTGTCGATACCTGTACACTTAATTATATTTAATCAAGTTTTTATAATACAGAATTCATTATTTTTTGAATAATTCTCTTCCTATTCTGCATTAATCAACCCGAGGCGAATGCTGTAAATGGAAATTAACAATTTTGCAAATCTTTAAATTGCAGTAGTTGCAATACTATATCCTATCTAAATCACAATTTGTCTTTACGGTCGTCATACATATCAATTATCTGTTAATTAATTGAAGTCACATATATTCGGCTACTAATAAGTGTAACGTTTCTCAACATATGTGTGGCGAATGCAACGTTAAAATAGTTAAAGCTAGAGCGCATGAGCGCCAAAATATTCTCGAGTATCACTTCATATCAATCACGACCTCTCAACCAATCAATGGCCAAAGTCTTAACGCGGTTATCGTTCCCGAAAGTGTATATATTAACTACGTTCTCTACAGTTAAGAACAACACCAACGGCTACGCACATGTCACAGTTCAATACACACCTCGGATACAAACCAATACATGACATCGCCCCCCCCCCCCCCAATAAACGTATGCCAAGACATGCGTCTGTTTCCTCTATAACTTTTTGGAAGCTTAGCTAATCTTGAGAACCCTTCCGAACTAGGTGAATCTCATATAGAGATTACTAAGTATGAGTTAAGGCCTGCTAGTGTAACAATCCGCTACGTCTCAAACTGCATTCTTCAAATCTTACAGGCGTGTGAAGTGTAATCCAAAGTAATTCCATATGTATACCACAGAAATCTGGACCGTTTGAGACCTCGGCGCTTAAAATGAATAGTATTTTCAATAACCTCTCTGTTACACTGATTCTGGCGGTTATTTACCATGGCAACTATATCCCAGAGAGTTGTGTCAGAGATAATTGTTAAGATTAAGTCAATGTTTATTTACTTACTACCCTCTACAAACACCGATTTTATAGAGTTGACAACGCTAATGATGAGTTTCAATTTTGAGAAATTGAAAAAAATATTCATATAATAACGTATATGCAAATAAATAGGCATTTATTGCCAAAATTTAGCAAACTCTTTGTCACTATAGTCAAAGCAAACAATGTGCTAGGCCATTCAGAAATTTATCTCCCCAATCTGTAATTCTGTTTCTCTCTCCTAAAAAAATATAATTTAACAACGCATTCAGAGCGGTCAGGATAAATTCTATACAGTAGTGATCTGATGGTTATTTTTTGGGTTTATAAGGGAGGCATTCAAGCACACTAAGACTTCTTTAAAATTCTAGATCTTTGTCTATTCATATGCAGGATGACAACGCGATGAAATGGTGGAAACTACCTAAATCGTGGCTGGAGATAACTTGTATTATGATGATTCAGAAGAAGGAGTGTGCGATAGATTTATCTCCACGTGGTGCACCCTGGGCAACGTATACTCATACGGCAAAAAAGTCTATTAACTGACAGTTGACCTCTGACTTCAAACTACCATGACCCCACTGTATGACATATTCGACCACTTCCACAGTACTACATCACATTTTTTCAAAATTTTCAATCTTCGTCTTTGAAACACTCTTCAGTTCCCCTCCTCTCGACTTTTTTTCACTTTGATGTTCCTCCTCCTCTCTGTGAAGCCTGAAGTCAACTAAAGGGTTAATGATAATCATCAAAACGCCTGCCATTTGATATAAATAAATGATTCAGTAAAAATGTGACTCTTTTCACTGCTCGATGCTCCTTTGATACTATGAAAACAATCCGAAATGCAATGGAGACTAGAGGGCCGTTGTGGCTGGGAGAAGACGACACAACAAATCACCTGATCTAATACCATTCATACAACTCACTCTTTTTTAATAATTCCGGCATTCACTTATTTAAACCCAAAGGTGGCGCAAGAGCATATTGTAACTCTCAGTCGACATTGACTGCATTAAAACAATTTTAATTATTTAATCTGATGGCTTGTAAATATCCCCTATTTAATAAATCACATCTTTTTCTTAAAAGGACACCATAACAACGGTACGAAGTAAATATTTTTTCAAGTGACAGTCATTTTGATAGTTATCAATAGCCCTTTAGTTGACTTCTGGCTTCACAGAAGGGCGGAACATCAAATTGAAAAATGTCGAGAGGGAAGGGGGGGGGGGAACAGAAGAGCGTTTCATAGATGTAAAAGAGACAGACAGACACAAAGTCAGGGAAAAGGCTAGATGAGTACTGTGAAAGGGGTCGAATATTACATGCAGTGGGGCCATGGTAGTTTGAAGTGGGAAGTCAACCGCCTGTTTATAGACTTTTATGCCGTATGAGTATACGTTGCCCAGGGTGCAACCACATGGAAGTAAGTCTATCGCATACCCCAAGAGGTAAATATTGCAAATCAAAAACTTATTGCCCATTAAACTTCTAATTCGTGCACTTTCAATGATAATATTGGTCCTAAATCATGAAGGTTTTTCCTATCTAAAATGTAAACAAATTAAACCGAGTTTTAAAAGAACATCAAATCTTGGCACTTAAGTAGGATCTTTGAAGATTCTGTGAACGTAACTCGCACACACCGAGTACCAAATTTTTTCATTACTGTCTTTCCATGATTGGCTCTGGGGATATAGCGGTCTCACACCCTTAGAACTGGCTCATTAGTTAACCAATCACTGCCATAAATTTGATTGTATATGAATGGCAGAAGGAAAGAAGAGAAGCTTGCATATAATTGCCAGTCTAGACCCTTCTTTATTCATGCGCCAAACTACTTAATTCACTAATTTAGTACGACGAATAGCCTAGATAGCATTATTTTTTTGCATTATAACGATGAATTGGAAGAGCGAGTTCTACCCGATGAGTTTGAATCACGAGGCCTTTTTTACGCATGAAAAGAAATGTGCTTCAACTGATTCAAAAAAATGTTGACCTAAGACATTACCCTTGTCAGCTTCAAATTGATAGCTCAGTGGTTCCATCTACGTGTGATTTGGAACAACTACTCTTTGTTTCTACATGGGCAAATTTTATTAGTCAGAGGATTATAGCTTTTAGACACTTTAAAAGTCAATAGTTAGCGATTGACGACGGAGCTCTTAGCTAAAATTTAGCGTGAAAAGAGTAGTACTGCCTCGTTTCCTGTATTGAGATGTTGATGTATCCATTGTTTTCCTTCCTACTAATGGAAAATTGGCATTGATTTTTTTTTGAAGATCAGTTATCATTATATTTGGTGAGAATGGACACTAATTGAAGTTGACGTAAGTTGAAAGAAAGTCAGATATGCTTTCAGTCAGAAGGATGAGGCAGTATAAATAAAGTTTCCATTTTAGTAAGTTATTTGTCCATTTAATTTAAAATTCATACCTATTAAAGTTAATTCGGAAAGATATTCTAGATTTAAATATTTATTTCGAATGGCAGGCTTTATGATGATTATCATTAGCCATTTAGCTGACTTTGGGCTTCATAGAGGGGAAGAGGAACATCAAAGTTAGAAAAATTCAAGAGGGGGCATAAAAGAGATTCAAGGATGCGAAAGAGATAGACAGACACAAAGGCAGAGAAAATGTGAGCTGAGTACTGTGGAAGAAGTCGAATACGACATACACTGGGGTGATGGTAGTTTGATGTGAGAAGTCAACTGCGGGTTTATAGACTTTTTTGCCGTATGAGTATACGTTGCCCAGGGTGCACCACGTGAAGGTAAATCTATCGCACACCCCAGATTTAGATAAAAAGCATTTACTTATGAATATTTATTAGAATGGGGAAATGTATATTTAACCAATCTTGTAAATACTTACCGCATTGATAGAACTGAAATCTAGCAACACCTTATGCTCAATGACGTAGTCTGATCGGTATATTTTGTATTGAGGGTAAGCGAGAGAACAAGAAAGTGCTTTTAGTGCTTAATTTTTGAAAATTTGATTACTTGTTTCTAAGATCGCTCATCCACTTGCCGATT